GCTCTCCCTGGGGTTCTAACCCTCCCCTCCCCCTAGCCTCACAGGTGAAGTGGGGAGGGATGCCACCCTGAGCTGCTGGACTCTTTAGCTCCAGCTTAGTGTTGCTAGCCTCAGGAATTTGTGACCAACTGGGCTAGTTTTGAAAGGCATCAGGTGACTTGTTGGGCAATAAATTACTTTCTTGGGGCAAAAGTTGGGCAATTTGACTGCTCCTCAGTCCCATCTCTTTGCTGCCACCTGGTGGCCTTTCAAATGAGAAGTCATCCAGACACATGCACAGCTGGACCAAATCTGCCTCCCCCCAAAGCCAGCAGAAGCCATGCAGAGCATACTTTTGGGGAGGGTGTTGTCATAAATATAAAGCAAAGGGTAACCACCTTTCTGTATACAGTGCTATAAAATCTCTCCTGGCCAGAGGCAAAACCCTTTCACCTGTAAAGGGTTAAGAAGCTAAGATAACCTCGCTGGCACCTGACCAAAATGACCAATGAGGAGACAAGATACTTTCAAATCGGGGGGGGGGGGGACAAAGGGTGAGTCTGTGTGTGTGATGCTTTTGCCAGGAACAGATCAGGAATGCAGCCTCAAAACTCCTGTTAATAAGTAATCTAGCTAGAAATGCATTAGATTTCCTTTTGTTTAATGGCTGGTAAAATAAGCCGTGCTAGATGGAATGTATATTCCTGTTTTTGTGTCTTTTTGACACAAAGGTTTTGCCTGGAGGGATTCTCTATGTTTTGAATCTGATTACCCTGTAAGGTATTTACCACCCTGATTTTACAGAGGTGATTCTTTTACCTTTTCTTTAATTAATATTCTTCTTTTAAGAACCTGATTGCTTTTTTCATTGCCCTTAAGATCCAAGGGTTTGGGTCTGTGTTCACCTGTACCAGTTGGTGAGGATTCTTATCAAGCCTTCCCCAGGAAAGGGGGTGTAGGGCTTGGGGGGATATTTTTTGGGGGGAAGCTGTCTCCAAGTGGGCTCTTTCCCTGGTCTTTGTTAACACGCTTGGTGGTGGCAGCATAGGGTTCAAGGACAAGGCAAAGTTTGTACCTTGGGGAAGTTTTTAACCTAAGCTGGTCGGAATAAGCTTAGGGGGTCTTTCATGCAGCTCCCCACATCTGTGCCCTAGAGTTCAGAGTGGGGAAGGGACCTTGACAGGTGTAAAAGTAGGTTCATGCTTCATGTGTTGCACGTTCCTGAAGCAGACACCGAACAAGTAAGTGTCCCAGAAAATGTTATTTTTTTTTCTGATTTTACTGAAAATAATGTTGTTCATTAGAAACAATATCTGCAGTCTTTTATGTTTGAAGGTGCTTGGGGCAGCACTGTGAAAGGGACAGGAGTGCCTTTCTGCGGCGGCGTGGCAATTCGGAGGCAGTTTTACTCTGCAGGCCGTGCCGCCACGGCAATTTGGCAGCAGCTTTACTCTTCTGGCTGCTGCGGCGGCAATTTGGCGGCAGCTTCTGTCTTCAGACGTCCTGCTTAGGGCAGCAAAAACGGTAGAGCCGGCCCTGAAACCTATTAAAACATAACAGTAATAATAATTGCTCCCTGCTGTCTATTGAGAAACCCTGATGGGGATCAGAAGTATGTCCCTTGGAAGATGACTAAGCAGCTGGTGTTTTTCTTTTCCCTGAAAGCGTCGCTGTATTTCCCTTTGGGCAGTCAGAGATTGAGTTTGTTTTACAGTTTCCCACCCAGTTTCTTTGGGAGAAAGCATCTGAAATTATTACATATTTTAAAGGTGCTGTTAATAGTGGGAACCCCCCAAAAGCATGAAGTACCTAAACTATGCACATCACTTTGCTTGTGTGGGTATCGGAGTGGAGCAGCAGTTATGAGAGTCACTTGCCGTTTAAGAGACGACTATTCTAAATGCGCTAAAACCCACATGTTGGCTCACATGATCTTAACCTTTACTGTGCATCATGGGCAGAGCTAGTGGAAGTGAGGAACTGCTGAGAGAGCAGAACTATGATGGGGGAAATTGGGCACCTTCCCCGCCATGTCATCCAGATGTTACACCCCTTCCTCAGGGTGAATTTTGCAGCAGCCTTGGACTGTTATGCCAGAGTTTCAACCATTTGCCACTAAAGATGAAATTTAAAATCTGAAAGGGGAATTTACTACTTACATGAACATGCCTAACCCTGACAACATGAAACTGGATATGTTAGTTTTTTGGAACAGTCATCAACACACTTCCCACTTCAGCAAAGTGGCACAGCAAGCTTTGAGTGTATCCTCTCAATCTACTGACACAGAGTGCATATTTTCAAAGTTGGACTACCTCCAAGACAGCAAGAGACTCAATGTGAACGAGGATACTTCAAAAAAAAAAAAATTGTGAGCATATGCAAACCACAATTTCAGGAAAAACTACTAGCTCTGAGACAAAAAATACCTTGGTACAAAAAAAAAGTTTCAATTATACTGTAGTAAAATGTGTAGATTATGGAAGTTTTTTGGGAGTTCTTTTCCCCCCCAATGTTTCTAATTTTTTTTAAACTTGATTTCATCCTGGTTTTAATGTTTGGAAAATAAAATAAAAAAATTCTGGGAATGTGTGTGTTTAACAAATAAAAACTGAAAACATGGAACTAAATACACCGCACTGTTGCTTGCAGTAACAAAATCAAGGTTACTGAAGTTCCTTATCTATGATTCCATTACTCTATGGTAAAATAGTCACAAATCAGTAATTGATGTGGGAAAGAGTATGGGAAGCAAATTGACATTGGCTCTTCTGTGAACTGCTAACTTTGCTTAAAAGGTAACATTTGACTTGCACTTGGATGCCTGACCCAAGGCACTCTAGTGCTTTATAGAATTCATCTCAAGAGAGTTGAAATATCTGCTGTATCTTTGGAAAACAGAGATCTAACTGAGGTGGTCCACATTTTAATACAGCTGGGTCAGAAACAGTCTCCCTACATGGGGAGTGAAGTGGGTAGCTAAACCACAGCCAAATTTTCTATGTATTGTGTACAAGTATCATATCTGCTGCCTAATATTTGTTGTAAAGCACAATAATAGAGATTTGATGGGCAAACTCAACGACATAATATACCAGGGCCAAGTTCGGATTTGATGGAAACAGGTACAGCCACTGCACTGTCTTCGATGGAGTTGCACCCACTTACACTAGATCCAAATTTGACCAATTGCCTTAATGTTCTTGGACATGGACTACATATCCTGGCCCCAAAATGGTGCAGGCTCTATGTATGGATCCTCACTGGCACACAATGCTTACCTTCCAAGATATTAAATTGAAACGAGAAACCTTATCTGTTACCTTATCTTCCTCCTCCTGAAAACTAACAAAGTGCTAGACAATAATAGTTGTGCAGTAGCTTTGGAGAAAAGACAGCTGAACCCACAAGATGACCTCAAAGGAAAATGAGGCTGCTCAGCACACTGTAGGATTACGCCCAAGTTGAAGAAAACAGTGAAGAGACATCTCCTCTCCCAGCTTCAGTATCAAAGCATGCATGCAGCAACTGTTCGGTCTTGCTTTGGAAGATTTTCATTCACCAATAAGTTATATCTCAGACATTTGAAAACAGCTGTGTCACTCTTATCACTGTTGACAGTTACATGCAGTTTAAAGTATTATAGAATCAAATAATGTATTTAAATACTGGTCTGATTCAGACATATTCAGCAGGATATTTGCTGTAGTATCGCACTGTTGGTTTTTAAGTAACTACATTATATTCAGCACAAAATTCTACATTATACCATAGAATCTCTCACTTCCATTAATCTAAGATAAAACTTCAGGAAATTTTTTTGTAAAAAATTGTTTATTCAAGTGTTTTATAAACTACTAGGCAAACAGTCACGAAAGCCTTTGTGCCATGAGTGTAAACTTATTTTAAAAAATTGTGTTAAAAACTAATACAGGAATTCCCATTAAGGTTTTAAAAAAGTTTGTTCACACATTGAAAGAAAATACATTAGCAACGTCTTCCAGCAGAATCCATCTTTAAAAAAGTAAAACTCTAGGTGCAGAACTGTTCTACAGTGTATCTTCTACAGTTTATTTTAAAATCACATGATTGCATATCATCATCTCTACTGTCTTTTAGAACTTGATCAAGAGTTTTTCTTAAACAGATGATATTCAATGATGTGTTACACACTGCCACAGGTACTACAATTATTATGAGTGCACACGCTGCATTTTACTTACAAAGCAAGATCTTTCCATATGCTGTGTCATACCATTCCTAGCCAATGCAGTTAATTCAGTTATTTACCTTTAAAATCATGTAAGTTTTCCAAGGAAAAATGCTAAAAATCCATAGCCCAAATTCTGCACTCACTCACACACTTGCTAGTCCATGGAATATAACCAAGTTTTGGTTACATGAGTGTGACAGTAATATTTGGTCCATGACTGTAAACATTCACAAAAGCCTACGGCAAACAGTGATGGATAGGTAGTCTGTGTGCAATACAATTACTTCCATTAACATAGGGGGATGTTAAAGAGCATATCCTGGAGGCAAAATGAAAGGCTTGTTTGCATTTCAAAGAAGTGTTCCTCGCTAGCTAAAGTTTACTCAATTAAAAGTAACTAGTTCCTATCCCAGAATGGAGTACAGCATCATTGTCTGGCTTCCTTTTGTTCTGACTCAGATAGAGGAGTATTCAGTTCATCAGCAGGTCCACAACAATATTTCATATGGCATTTTAAGAATCTGATCTAGTCTCCCCTTGACATACTACTGATGCTAATAAAGAGTTACTCATGCATATGAAGGAGAGAATAAATCCCAAGAGCCATACACGGACCTTGATCTGCGCACACAACTCTTACTGATGGTAACCAGAGATGTGTATCTACACTAAGGATTGTCTACAGCTTTAAGTGTCTAATTTCAATCTAGATGTTCTTTCTACATTACCACATATACCATACACATTTGAGAAGAATGATGGGTGAAAAATACCACACACTATTTAGAATACCATTTTCCCCATACCGTTTCGCTGCAAATCGTTTTATTTACACAGGAAGTCTGTGTTTAAAGGGCCTGGTCCTATGAGGAAACAAACATCCAACTCCCTAGCTACAGAGGAAGTTGAGGATGTTCAGTACATCACAGGATCACGTCCTAAATTGTTTCAAAGCAAGTAATCATGGAGTTTGTAATCTGACACAAGAACAGTTTCCCAGAATCTCTTCACTCTCTTGTCTTCCTTCTCTGTCCCAATTTCTGGGCCAGATCATGTCCCCATTGAAGTCAATGTGTATTTTGCCATCGACTTAATGGCAACAGGACCAGGCTCTGTCAAGCCACCACTGCAGTCTTCAAATATGTCTTGCTTGTCAAGAAAAAGATGATATTTATTGCCATCCACTCTGGGGTAGACTTGTCTGCAGTGAAAACGGTGTTCCTGGTGCAGAGGGATAGCTAGCAAAACCATCAGGCTGAGCTGGATAGTTCTCTAGAGCTGAAGCTGAATGTGCCTTCAAGAAAGAGAAAGCAAGCAGGTTAGGAAGGAACTTTAAAAAAAAAAAAAAAAAAAAAGCCATGCGGAGAACTATTTCTGTTCATGCTACAGAACTCTTAACAAAAGAAGTTTCAGAATAGCGTGTTGGGTGTGCTGCGGAGGAGGGAGACAGGGGCAGGAAGTATGACAGGGGCAGGAAGTATATCTAAGTGTAGGCGGTTCTTTAATTACATAGCAATTTCCCCCTGAAACAGAGAATCATAGAAATGAAGAGCAGAAAAGGACTTCAGGAGGTCATCTAGTTCAGCCCCCAGCACTCAGGCAGGTCCAAATAAACCTGACAGGTGTTTAAATAAACTGTTCTTAAAAACCTCCAATGATGGGGATTCTACAACCTCCTTTGGAAGCCTATTCCGGAGCTTAACAAAGCATATCATTAGAAAGTTTTTCCTAATCTAAATCTTCCTTGCTGCAGATTAAGCCATTGCTGTTCTACCTTCAGAGGACATGGAGAACAATTGAACCCCATCCTCTTTATAACAACTCTTAACATAATTTGAAGACTTTTCAGGTCCCCCTCTCAGTCTTCTTTTCTCAAGACTTAATATACAGATATTTTTCTTTTTTAGCCTTTCCTCAGAGGTCAGGTCCTTTTACCACTTTTCTTGATCTCTCCTAGATTCTCTTCAGTTTGTCCCTATCTTTCCTGCAGTGTGATACCCAGAACTGGACACAGTAGTCCAGCTAAGGCCTCATCAGTGCCAAATACAGTGGGACAATTGCCTCCTGTGTCTGACATAAGATATTCCTGTTAATAAACCCTAGAATGATATTAGCCCTTTTTGCAACTGAATCACATTGTTGATTTGTATTCAGTTTGGGATCCACTGTAATCCATAGATGCTTTTGTGCAGCACTACTGCCTGGCCAGTTATTTCCCATTTTGGAGTTGTGCATCTGACTTTTTTCTTCCTAAGTGTAGTACTTTGCACTTGTCTTTATCTTCTTGTTGATTTCAAGTCAATTTGTCAAGATTATTTTGAATTCTAATGTTGTCTTCCAAAGTCCTTGCCACCTCTACCGCAAATTTTATAAGCACACTCTCCACTCCATTATCCAAGTCATTAATGAAAATATTGAATAGTGCCAGATGCAGGACAGACCCCTGTGGGCCTGCCCCCCAGATATTTCTTCCAAATGTGACAGCAAACCATTGAGAACTACTTCTCTGAGTACAGTCTTTTACCCAGTTTTGCACCCACCTTACAGTAATTTCATCTAGACTGCATTTCCCTAGTTTGGTTATAAGAATGTCATGTGAGACTGTATGAAAAGCTTTAGTAAAATTAAGATACTATGTGTACCGCTTCCCCCATCCACTAGGCCAATAACCCTGCCAAAGAAGGAAATTAGGTTGGTTTGGAATAATATGTTCTTGACAAATTCATGCTGACTATTCCTTACAACCTATTATCCTCTAGGTGCTTAAAAAATGATTGTTTAATAATTTGTTCCAGTATCTTTCTATGTATCCAAGTTAAGCTGACTGGTCTATAATTTCCCCAGGTCCTCTTTGTTGTATATCTATGCTACAGCCACTACAGAACGCTAGGAAAGCAGTCTGATTCACAGAGACGGTAAAGAGGGGTGGTTTTCCAGATGGCTTCATTTGAGACTGAGGTTTTAAGAAGAGTTTCACTAATTTTCTAACATTAAGCCTTCCTTCACAACCTTATTGTATTTTTACTAAGATCTATATTTAAATTATAATTTCAGTGATCAAAGCATGCAAACAAGAACAATGTCTTCCATTAGTACAATATATATGGGTATAATTTTAGAATCCTGTAGGTAATTTTTTGTTCCCTTATCATTTTCCAGCTGTAGATCTTAAAGACTTTACAAAGAAAATGGTTTCTCCGTCTGTAAAAACCAATGAAGCACAGATTAAGTGATTTGCCTAAAATCACAAAATTAGCGTGAACCCAGGTCTCCCGACCATGTGGTCAGTGCACTATCAAGATACTACAAATTTTACACGTCAGATCTGTCCCCTTCTTTCCTCCTCCCCACTTTTACAATGCCACCCATAAGAAAGGTTTTAACATATCTATAGCCTTTAGAGAAAGTCAGCTGAAGCGCCACTGATGACAGTCCAGTCCCCCAAGAGCAACAGCTATCTTCAGACAACCGAATGTTGGATTATCAGAGTGTACTGTATCAGCCTCGTAGCCAATTCTTTAACGTAAGCTATGCTTTCTAAAAGCAAAGATTTGATATTGAACAATTAATGCTCAGTGGGGCCTTAAGGCAGTGCAATATCAAGAAATATGCAGCTTACCTGTAGTAGCGCTGATTGCGCTGCTGCACTATGCTGCAATTCCTGCAGGGAAGACTGTGCGGCACTTTGGGAAAATCCAGGTATACCAGGAAGAGATAAGAGTCCAGGGAAAACTGTATTTCCTGGGGTTTGCAGCCCAGAAGTCAGGCTGAAATAACCAAGACATGGCAGTTATTAGGAACACTTTCAACAATATTTTATCCTAGATTTCTTATCTCGCTAACAGCACCAGGGTTTCTAAACTTCAATTAACTAAGTTTCCCAAACAGCACACCTAAGCTGCATCCACACAATATTTGCATGTATAAGCCAGGACACTGGTACACACATGCAACTTGAGCATGCAAGCCAGTATCTCGTGTGCAGTTACTGCTTGTGCATGAATATTCTGTAGGTGAAAATGTAGTGTTGGATATTTTTCTTGACACAGAAAAGGCTAGGATATTGTCTGCTATTACCTGAGTATGTAAATTGATACATATTTTAGACCCATTCTTGCAAAATCCTAGCATGTTGTAGGAGGTGCCAAGTACCCTCAACATAGAGCTGAAGACACTCATCACCTTGCAGGATTGGACCTTATAGAAACTGGAATCCTGGACACTAGTTGCAAAATATAGACTGGCCTCCTCATTTAAATTCTAAAGACAGATGGAAATCTACTGCTGAAGTAACCATTTAAAATATTAAAAGTACTTTATAACTATGCCTGGAAATACCATCTATGTCTAAAGTAAATCAATGTTTTGCTGAGAAAGAAATGGTTTTGACCTCCTTCAGAAACAGAAACATACCCAGCCTGTGCAACAAGTGCAGAGTTGAAGTTTGAGCTAAAGGCCGAGGCAAACCCTGGCAGGACCGGAGCCGGAGATGGGGCTGTGGCAGCTGCCGGCAGCGGTGCAACTGCTGCTACTGCAGAAGATGCCTGGAGGCCAGGGAAAGAAGGGAGAGCTGGAGTGACAGTGGGTGTGTTAGAGACAGGGAAACCAGGGAAGGATGGGTTTGATGATCCCAGAGGCCCCTGGGTGACAGAAAATAGGGAGGGGACGGCACTGGACAAGTTAAGCGGAAAGGGTGAAGCAGAGACTGTTGCTGAAGCAGTGAGTCCTGAGAGAACAGCGGCTGTAGAATTCACATGAGAAGCAGACACAGATGAAGCAGTTGTAGATGGAGTGGCTAACAAAGACCCTGGGACAGTGACCGGTGGTGTAAGTGCTGGGTTACCAGTAAAAGCAAAGTTACTGGTCAGAGACGTGAAGGGAGGAAGTCCATTAAATACTGGGGCAACTGGAGCAGAGGAAGCATGTGGGGCAAGGGAAATAGAGGCAAGAGAAGTGGAGCTGTTTAAGGGAGCACTCAAAGAGGAGAGACCCGATAATGCTGGATTAAGGGAACTAGGTAAACTGACTGGCACTGAAGTTGCAGAGGTATATGCACGCCCAAGCGCTGACAATCCTAGCGTGCCATGAGATGGGCCAGCCGAATGAGAAGGGCCTTTGAAGGCTGAGAGAGTAGGGCTCATGGGTTCAGTTTTGACCAGAACTGGAATACCTGTGGCAACTGGGGCTGATGAAATCTGCTGCTCAGGATTAGTAGGGCTTGCACCATGCAAAAGCGCAACGGAGGCGCCACAGCTGACTGGTATAATAGATTGTGAAGTGGTTAATGGTGACTGTGTTGGCAATGCTGGGGGAGTGGGGCTAGGATTGGCTACAGAGGGAGATGGAAGACCCGGGAAAATGGCCAGGCCTGGCGTGGAAGAACGTTGTGGTGTAGGTGTGACAGACGGAGTATAACATTTGTTTACAGAGGAGGCAGGAGGCTCAGAGCTTTGATTAGCAAGAGCAGATAAAGAGGCAAGCTCACTCGTCACAGCAGAAGGTAAAGCATTGATTAATGAGGTATCATTTGATGTCAGAAATCCCTTTAACACAGACAGAATTGGATTAGGCAAGCTAAGTGGGCCAGAGATGCTAGTGGCAGGAGAGCTAGCAATTGCAGAGGGAATGGGACTAGATATCCCTTGAGGAGTGGGGGTCAAGGACAAAGGGAGGCCAGCAAAAACTGATGACAATGGAGTAGGATTATTAACTGAAGCAATTGAAGAGGTTGCAGAAAAAGGGAGGCCAGCAAATGGTGCAGAAGCAGATGCAAAAGCTTCATTAGAGGCAGGTGTGGCACATGGTGTGGAAGAACCTTGTGGAGCTGGCGTAGCAGCAGGGATAGAAGCCAGTCCAGAGAAAACTGCAGGAATAGGGATGGAGGTTGCACTATGAACAGATGTGACAGGAACACCAGGCAATGAAAGGGATTTGATGACAGATGGAGTCGGGGTTGATGGCTGAGATGTATGGATGGAAGAGGAGACCTGCCCTGGGAAAACAGGAAGCACAGGGGTAGACATGCTCATCCCAGAGATGACTGCAGTGGCAGGTGCTAATGGATGGCTTATCGCCTTGACAGGGGATGGGGTAGGAACTGGAGTAGCAGCAGGTGTTGAAGGATTAGAACCATGAGGAGTAAAGAGCTGATTCGCTTGTGCAGAAAAAGCTGCAAAGAAACAAAACTGGTAAGAATACTTGAAACCGACAGAAATGTTTCAGTTCAACACAAATGCATCTTATATAATTATAAAATATGATACACAAGCAGTAACATACATGTTTGTATATACACAATCTACATGGAAGGCTATGAAGATAAAATATAGAGGTATCTACATATAAGTGATATATGCCATGCAGTATGCAGAAAGTAGACTACATGTATCTATGTGTCTCCCTTCAATAATTATCTATTACACGCACGAGCAATTATGTCTAACCCATTCTATGGCATTTACAACTTCTTCATGAGCTAGTGCAAGAGAGTTTAAAACTTCAAATTTGTTCCCAGAGATCTCTCTATGTAAGAAAGGTAAACAGAAATTTCTGCCCCTAACATCTAGCAGCACCCAAAATAGGATGAGCATTCAGCACTGGTACCATTTCTGCTCTCCACATGAGCTCTATATGAGGGTCTACACTAATTCTACAACAGGTAGAATGCCAGGATTTTACAGAAGTTTGTTGGAATCCAGTCCACAACTGCAGAGTACATAATTTTAGAAGAAGTTTGGTTATTTTATTTTATTGGTAGGTAGGCTTAATTCTTTCACTGTTTTTGATTCTCTATATCACAATCTGGACAGTAGAGGAAGCGCACTATGAGATTCATGTGTGCTACAGGTGTACTAGCTAACACTGAAACCTGCCCATAAAAACAAAGTCTTTAAAAACAGTTTGTTCCAACTGAGGATCAAATGTCCCATCTTCAAGTACCAATGCACTACAGTTAAAACCACAAAGTTCAGCTTATATCAACCCTACAAAGCAAACAAAGAGGGATGCTCTCTGGAGGAAAGCAGGAAGGCACACTACCAGATTAAATGAGAGAGAGGACACTAAGTCTAGGTCTGAAAGTTGGTGTCTCAGAGCTTATTATGGGTCTTGAAACTCTTACTAAATGTGAGTAGCCCCTTCACCTTCAATGTGGGCATTTCCATGAGTAAGAACTGTTTGACCTCAACACCCCAAAATTTGTGCTAAACTGTGTTTTAACTAATTTGGAGTGCTATGTAAATACTACATAAGGATTGAGCCCTTTAATTCTAGTCACTTCCATAGCATTTTTATAACACCTTGCTCTCCCTATAAATGCTATTGTGTTCTTTGTTCCCATTACTTTTAATTTAATTCCCTTGCTCCATTGTGGGTGAGAAATAAGGCATGTTGTAATCACTTTTATATTTTGTTTAGAAATTAACATTTTCTGTTTAACCATGAACAGAACACTGATCTAGGAGGCAAAACTTACGGCTTCTTTAACTCCATGTTATACCCTAAATTTACCTGTGCCCCCTTTATAACCTTAAGTTCTCCACCAGTGAAAACTCAGCCTTAAGATCTTAGGATACTGTTTAAACTGATATATGCAAATACTCTTAATATTTTGAAACTTAAACATCTTAGATATTTGCAAACAAAATGCAAAAAGTTTCACTTCTGTCCTCTTCTACAAAAAACCAAGATCTGTGCTCCACGTTCTGGACTCTCTTTCTACAACCTCCTCCTGAACTCCAAATTGAAGAATTAACTAGGCCTGTCAAGCGATCAAAAAAATTAATCGTATTTTATCACACTGTTAAACGATAATAGAATACCATTTATTTAAATATTTTGGATGTTTTCTACATTTTCAAATATATTAATTTCAATTACAACACAGAATAAAGTGTACAGTGCTCACTTTATATTTATTATACGTAATTGCACTGTAAAAAACAAAAGAAACAGTATTTTTCAATTCACCTAATACAAGTACTGTAGTGCAATCTCTTTATCATGAAAGTTGAACTTACAAATGTAGAATTATGTTAAAAAAAACTGCATTCAAAAATAAAATAATGTAAAAGTTTAGAGCCTGCAAGTCCACTCAGTCCTACTTCTTGTTCAGCCAATCACTCAGACAAAAAAGTTTGTTTACATTTGCAGGAGATAATGCTGCCCGCTTCTTGTTTACAATGTCAGCTGAAAGTGAGAACAGGTGTTCTCCCAGCACTGCTATAGGTGGCATCACAAGATATTTACGTGCCAGATGCGCTAAAGATTCATATGTCCCTTCATGCATTCTAGGGGACATGTGTCCGTGCTAATGATCGGTTCTGCTCACTTACAATCAAAAGCAGTGCGGACCAACACATGTTCACTTTCATTATCTGAGTCAGATGCCACCAGCAGAAGGTAGATTTTCTTTTTTGGTGGTTTGGGTTCTGTAGTTTCCACACTGGAGTGTTGCTCTTTTAAGAGTTCTGAAAGCATGCTCCACACCTCATCCCTCTCTGATTTTGGAAGGTACTTCAGATTCTTAAACCTTGGGTCCAGTGCTGTATCTATCTTTAGAAATCTCATGTTGGTACCTTCTTTGCATTTTGTGAGATCTGCAGTGAAAGTGTTCTTAAAATGAACATCATGTGCTGGTCATCATCCGAAACTACTATAACATGAAATATATGGCAGAATGTGAGTAAAATGGAGCAGAGGACATATAATTCTCCCCCAAGGAGTTCGGTCACAAATTTAATTAATGCATTATTTTTTTAATGAGCGTCATCAGCATGGAAGCATGTCCTCCGGAATGGTGGTCGAAGCATGAAGGGGCATACGAACGTTTTACATATCTGGCAAGTAAATACCTTGCAATGCTGGCTACACAAGTGCCATGCAAATGCCTGTTCTCACTTTCCGGTGACACTGTAAATAAGAAGAGGGCAGCGTTATCTCCTGTAAATGTAAACAGACTTGTCTGTCTTAGCGATTGGCTGAACAAGAAGTAGGACTGAGCGGACTTGTAGGCTCTGAAGTTTTACATTGTTTTGTTTTTGAATGGTTATGTAACCCAAAAAAAAAAATCTACATATGTAAATTGCACTTTCACAACAACGAGATTGCACTACAGTACTTGTATGAGGTGAACTGAAAAGTACTATTTCTTTTGTTTATCATTTTTACAGTGCAAATATTTATAATAAAGAATAATATACACTTTAACTTCAATTACAACACAGAATACAATCTATATGAAAATGTAAAAAACATCCACAATAATTAATAAATTTCAATTGGTATTCTACTGTTTAACAGTGTAATTAATCGTGATTAATTTTTTTAATTGCAATTAATTTGTCTGAGTTAATCGCGTGAGTTAACTGCGATTAATCAACAGCCCTAGAATTAACTAATAACCACAGTTCTTGGCTCTGACCCATCAAAGTTGGTATCAGAGAAATCTAGATTCAAGAGAGCCAAGGACTGTTATTGGTACTCTGCTTTTTGATGAGGATGTTGTCCTTTTAATTGTATTGATTTACCTGTGTATCTATCATAAGCGTATAACAAAGCGTATCTTTAAGTAGCAAAATTCCTGAGCAACTACACCTGGGTACAGGGGATGGAGACAAAACAGAGAGAAAACATTCTCCCATAATTTTTAATGTTAGCTCCTTTAACATGGCCATTTTACTTTGTTTTGGTTACTTGCTTATGTGCATAACAGAAGACAAAAAATTCAGCTTGAAAAAAGTTCAGGTTATTTTGTTTTTAGCTTCTGACACATAATAGGAATGGCACAAGTAGCAACTATGAAACCTTCCCCACATACTGGATTTAAACAAGTTACAATCTGTGCACATATTGTGCTATCAGCAAAATGTGGCGGTTGTGCATTCAAATCTCCCACTGTGACTTACATACACAAAAATGCTACTTGATCAGGCCCCAAATTAGGCAAAAAGCAATTTTTTCAGCAACTGAAAAACAGTGGCTAGTAATGAATTTCAGTGCACTACATTTCTAAGAGTATTTTGTCTTTGTTGTTTGCTATATTATCTGGACGAATATGCACACAATTAAAAATACAAAGTACGAATGTTCATTCAGATTAAGTTAAAAATCTTGAGGTTTAAAAATAATTTATAACTTTCTGAAAGGAATGTTAAATTACATCAAAATACAGCAGATTTTCCCTGAAGAGCTGCTGCACTTTACCTTGATTTTGGGAAGGTTTTGCCTGATTGGAAAGGTCTTCGTTTTCTATGTAGAGAACAACAGTTATTTAAGGGCAGAACAACTTCAGAAATAAGTTATCCATTCTCACATTTAAAAAAATGCGTTTATGCCAGCATTTATACAGAAACACATGCTTTACCTGATCCCACTTGATTAGGAGTATATGGTGGAGGAGCTGGTAAGCTTGGTGCTAGGACACTGGCCATTGGAACTAGACCGGCGTTGTTGTAAGCACCTAAAAAAATGCAAAGACCACACATATGCGTCAAACAAAAGTCAATAAATACAAACAAATGGTTTAAGAGTGGACTAGTCTGTATCATTCTGTTACAAGGATACTTTCAAGGCTCTAAAATGTTCCCTTATTAGTTAAAGCAAAGCTACTTAACCCTACAGGCTGCATAGGATGAGAGGCATGTATTCCAATGTAAGTTTTAGTTAGGGCAGCTCTCTGATGGCTCATAAAAACAGTGTCAACGGGAGACTGAGATAAATGGATTTCTTGCTCTCTGAAGCAATCTAGGAGAGCAAAATTCTTGCCCCTTTCCATTCCATGCTATCTTGGGAAAAGAGATGGGAGAAAGGAAGTGATAATGGTAGCATGACAAATGGGAATGAGGATATGGAGATAGATATTACCATATCTGAGGTAGAAGCGAAACTCAAACAGCTTAATGGGACTAAATCGGGGGGGCCCATATAATCTTCATCCAAGAATATTAAAGGAATTGACACATGAAATTGCAAGCCCATTAGCAAGAATTTTTAATGAATCTGTAAACTCAGGGGTTGTATTGTATGACTGGAGAATTGCTAACATAGTTCCTATTTTTAAGAAAGGAAAAAAATGTGATCCGGGTAACTACAGGCCTGTTAGTTTGACATCTGTAGCGTGCAAGGTCTTGGAAAAAATTTTGAAGGAGAAAGTAGTTAAGGACATTGAGGTCAATGGTAAATGGGACAAAATACAACTTGGTTTTACAAAAGGTAGATCGTGCCAAACCAACCTGATCTCCTTCTTTGAGAAAGTAACAGATTTTTTAGACAAAGGAAACACAGTGGATCTAATTTACCTCAATTTCAGTAAGGCGTTTGAAACGGTGCCACACTGGGAATTATTAGTTAAATTGGAAAAGATGGGGATCAATATGAAAATTGATAGGTGGATAAGGAATTGGTTAAAGGGGAGACTACAGCGGGTCATACTGAAAGGTGAACTGTCAGGCTGGAGGGAGGTTTACCAGTAGAGTTCCTCAGGGATCGGTTTTGGGACCAATCTTATTTAATCTTTTTATCACTGACCTCAGCACAAAAAGTGGGAGTGTCCTAATAAAGTCTGCGGATGATACAAAGCTGGGAAGTATTGCCAATTTAGAGAAGGACCGGGATATCATACAGTAGGATCCGGATGACCTCGTCAACTGGAGTAAAAGGATGAAATTTAATAGTGAGAAGTGTAAGGTCATGCATTTAGGGATTAATAACAAGAATTTTAGTTATAAGCTGGGGACGCATCAATTAGAAGTAACGGAGGAGGAGAAGGACCTTGGAGTATTGGTTGACCACAGGATGACTATGAGCCACCAATGTGATATAGCCGTGAAAAAAGCTAATGTGGTCTTGAGATGCGTCAGGTGAGGTATTTCCAGTAGGGATAAGGAGGTGTTAGTACCATTATACAAGGCACTGGGGAGACCTCATCTGGAATACTGTGTGCAGTTCTGGTCTCCCATGTTTACGGAGGATGAATTCAAACTGCAACAGGTACAGAGAAGGGCTACTAGGATGATCCGAGGAATAGAAAACCTTGTCTTATGAAAGGAGACTCAAGGAGCTTGACTTGTTTAGCCTAACCAAAAGAAGGTTATGGGGAGATAGGATTGCTCTCTATAAATATATCAGAGGGATAAATACCAGAGATGGAGAGGAATTATTTAAGCTCAGTACCAATGTGGACACAAGAACAAATGGATATAAACTGGCCATCGGGAAGTTTAGACTTGAAATTAGACAAAGGTTTCTAACCATCAGAGGAGTGAAGTTCTGGAACAGCGTCCCATGGGAAGCAGTGGGGACAAAAGACCTATCTGACTTCAAGATTAAACTTGATAAGTTTATGGAGGAGAAGGTATGATGGGATAACATGATTTTGGCAATTAACTGATCTTTAACTATTCATGGTAAATTGGACCAATGGCCTGTGATGGAATGTTAGATGGGGTGGGATCTGAGTTACTACAGAGAATTCTTTCCTGGGTATCTGGCTGGTGAATCTTGCCCACACGCTCAGGGTTCAGCTGATCACCATATTTGGGGTCGGGAAGGAATTTTCCTCCAGGGCAGATTGGAAGAGGTCCTGGGGGTTTTTTGCCTTCCTGTGCAGCATGGGGCATGAGTCACTTGCTGAAGGATTCTCTGCACCTTGAAGTCTTTAAACCATGATTTGAGGACTTCAATAGCTCAGACATAGGTGAGAGGTTTATTGCAGGAGTGGGTGGGTGAGATTCGGTGGCCTGCATTGTGCAGGAGGTCAGACCAGATGATCATAATGGTCCCTTCTGACCTTAATATCTATGAATCTATGATACTAAATGCATATGTGGGTCACAGTATTTTTTGTTGTTGTTCCCATCCTAACAACTCCCACCCTAAGGCTGTTACAACCCTTGTTTTTGGCAAGGAGATTTACAAGAGAAAGAGTCTTTTCATGGTAAATGTCATACTTTGGAACTGTCGTCCTTCAGCATCTCTTTAAATGATAAGGTACTAAACTGGAATAGCAGGTGATCTTGATAGATTAGGTTTAGTAAATGTTTCCTATCATAAAAATAGCATCCTTATCTTCCTATAAGGTGTAGTAACTGGCACACACTGTTGTACTGTTTTAGTGCTGAGTTACTGTAGTGAAGAGGGACATCAGAGCTTATATGTAAAGATGTACCTACACTCCCACAAAGGGTGTTAAAAGCATATATGCAAATTCACATATATAAGATACAGACAGCACTATCAAAACCACTCAAAACATGGAAAGGAACTTATGAACATCAAGTAACTTCCGATATGCACACTTTTAATTCAAGTTTTCGAGGTTCCGTCATGCTACAGTATTAAAATTCCTTGCATGACGGTTTATGGCAAAGATCTAAGGAGCAGATTACATTCACTGAGGGGACAAACACTCCCCACCGATATATACTGAAACACCTTACACGTAAGTTTTGCTCATGACTTAAAAACAGTCAAGTGAAGGAAGGCTCAGTTCACTTTATTTACTAACTAATTACAATGCAGTTTCTTAATGCAGTGTAGCATTTGATGAAAGGAGCTTAAAGCAACTGAAATAAACTCACTTATGTTGACGATGTGGTCTTTGCCTTTAAGGATACATCTACACAGCCTGGGGCAGCGAGCCTCTGAGCTCAGGGTGACAGACTCAGGCTCACAGGGCTCATGCTACAAATAGCTTGTAGATGTCATGGCTCAGGCTGGAGCTCATGCTCCGAAGCCTAGAGAGGGAAGTGGGCTTCAGAGCCCAAGTTTCAGCTCAAGCAGCAACTTCAAAGCGGTCTACACAGCTATATTTAGTGGGGTAGCATGAGCCCAAGTCTGTTGACATGGCCTTGAAGGCTCCCTGCTGTAGGCTGCCAGTGGCTTTTCAGACATACCCTAAAAGGGATAGCAGATCTTTTTCATGGCCAGATTCAAAGAACACATCCAGCTTCCCAACAACAAACTCTGTATTGGCTTTTATGATACAGAAGTCAAATATTTATATTCAATTGAGTTCTAAGAACTCTGTAGCTATCGTCCTCATCTATTCTGGAATGCATGTCACCTCCAGTAATAAGAGATTCGACAATCAGAAAGGCGTTGACAGTTCTTTGAATGATGCAGAATCCGGAAAAGAAGCCCACACACTCATGGTATTGCCTCTACAGTGATAACAGGAGAAGTTAGAGCTAGGACCCAGAATACGCACAGGGAGCACAGCCAACTAAAAAGGTAACTATGGCCAGAAACGTATCACCACACTAGAACCTTTTTAAAAAAAAAAATCAAATAGATCAAATAATAGGATCAAGCTAAAGCACAAAGAAGCCTTACTTGGTGCAATAGTTGCATGTGGCCGGCATGGTGGGATGGGGTACGGAACAGGCTTGTGTGGGTTGTATGTTGCTGGAGCCTATATTAAAAAAAAGTGAAAAAGCATTAAGTAATATGTTTCTCTGCCAAAAATTTTAGTATTTAGATGCTTAGATACTGTACAAATCATTGTTATTTATCCTGGGAAAGAGAATTTGCTGTATCAAATCATGTTGCTGATTCATTATGTTTGCTTCCCTGTCTCTAAAGCTGCCAATACTTGAATGCTTCTAAAGAAGGTGAAATACTTGTTGTAATAACATAATTGTGTAATATAGCAATAGGACAGGGAAAAAAAGGAAAGTCTTTCCTGATCCATGAAGCTTTCATGCCCTGAAGCATTGGATTGTTTTCCTTCTCTTAATTTGCATAACCACAAATGCAATCTATGGCCATAAAATTATCCAGTCCTTAAAATAAAAAAAAAAATAAAAAATACAGCCACTAGATTGGGAAACACCTGGAAACAGAAGTACTAGTCATACATTTCTGCAACACTTCTCAACTCACATTGAAAACGTCAGATTCAGTTCTTTGCTGTCCATTTGTTCAAAAAAAAAAAAAAAAAAAAACTTTTATTTTTAATCAGAAATTTAGTTGTGTTGCCATAGAATAAATTTCCTCAGTAAGCACCTTATTTCAGGAGTTGTGTATTAGATTTTGATGTGGAAAAGCCTCACAGATCATGAAACAAAGCCAGAATGGCTGTTAAAACTTCTAGATCAGGTCATGATGAACAACGGGAACTGGCTTGGTTCCTCTTACTAGCCCAGTTGATATTTTGTCCTAGAATGCATGCATATTGTATCAAATGGAAGCCCCTGCAGAATTTCTCTCTTTATAGTGAATAAAAATATAGAAATACTGGGACACTGAATAGCATTCTTATTACAGTTAAGAAGCTTAAGTAAAGCCATCATGCTTAATGACAAGAAAGTAGAGATGGGGCTTCTTCATACCCCCTTCAAGTCTCTCTATTTTCTAGTGATGTGACAGCATTTCATAAGACTTATGATTTTTTTTTTTTTTAAAGACGTACTGGTTTGGATGGTCCAAGTATACGGGCTGCAATTCCCTTCCCTTCATTAGTACATTCTTCAGTCTCCTTTTTGATAGGTGTTCCCTAAGACATTAAAAAACATCAGTTATTAAGCATTTATTTAGAAATAAATAGGAGAAAGCGGAGATAAAGGTTTTCACCTTACTCTTATTCTGAATAATATTCAAATTCACAGCTACTTTGAAGTCTCAGTCACACATTCCAAAATACAGAACTGTGTTCTGGATTTGTTGCATCATAATTAAGAAAGTTTCAGTTAGGCTGCATTATAACACTGGACTTTTGTACATAGAAGCATATTAAATCGTCACAGTTTTTGCTATACCTTGAATTCTGCATTCAATTCTGGGGTCCTTGCCACCAGAAAGATAAGCTACAAGGAGTTCACAGACTGCATTTAGCATAGGACATTTAAAACTGAATCAAGACTAGTAAACCTATTGCAGAGATCAATCCCATATTATGTCAAAAAGTTAATCACTCTACTAATAAGCCTTTTACACCTTTAGTTTCCATGATTCTGTATAGCATGTTTGTGGTACAAGATAAAAAAATTTCTATTTCTTGTATAAAAGAAATCTGAGTTCTTTTTAATTGTTCAGTATGAATGGTTACTGGGCAAATTATGACAAAAAGTTATTGTTTTTAATTCCACTCAGACCAAGATGTCCTCCTTTCGTTTGAATGAACAGCAGTTCAGGTATACTACAGTACATCCTAAATCAAAAGCACTTTGAAGAACTTAAGTAGACTTCACATACTGGGAAAATTCCATTTATCCGGCTTGGTTTCCCCTTGGGATAAGGGTTTCCAGGAATCATGCCACAGGAAGATATCATAGCATGAGGGGCTTTACAGCCTCCTTTGGAAGCCTGCATCATAACCAAAGAAAGTAGAATTAAAACGCTACAAATTCAGATAGTATTACATTATTTAGTGTCTGAAATTCAGCACTTTTAAAAGGATATGAATTGTAATATGCAGCCTTCATTAATAATGAATATACCTACATGGACATCCAGATTCAAAGCTCTCCATAGCTTTGCTTACCCTGTGTATTAGTTCTTCTTTCCATCTACTCCTCCCCAATTCACTGTATGCCATATGCTCTATCCAGGCTCACCTTGTTTTGATGGCTCCTTTGGGCCCAATTCTACTCCTACTGAAGTCAATGGCAGTACTCAGAATGACTTTAAAGAAAGTAGGACTGTGACCCTAGTAATCTCCCACATTACCATGGCTTTTTTCCTACACAACCCTTATGTGTGAAAAAGTCTTCCTCTTCTCCAACAACCACCAATGATTTGCTCTCCTCCTTCACAGACTCACTTCCTTCAGATTGTCAACAAATAGTTTGCATTAGCTATTAATTATATGGGCCCTGATCCTGCAGTGACCATATGGAGGGAAATAACACAATATCAGCGAACATCTTCTAATACCTGCTCAAGAATTCTCCTGCACCTTTTCTTCTCTGACATGTTAATCCTGAACAGGTCCTCAATAAGGCGGTAATTCTGAGCATCAACAATGTTGCTGCAAAGAAAACGGTTGAACAGTTACTGTCATTTCTTATACCTATCACACACACATGATCAGGACCTAACAGCTGCAAGCCCATGCAATTGCACAGGCACAGTGGGGCGTGTGTGTAAAAAAGCAAAAATGGCTGAGAAGTGAAAATTGGATGGTAACAGATCACAAAACACAGTGATGGATCAACCTGGTGATATTCTGAACAAAAAGAGCTCTTGACCATGCTTATAGCTCAGGGGAAGGCAAACTTTGGCCTGAGGGCCATATCGGATTTCCAAAATTGTATGGAGGGGCGGTTAGAGGAGGCTGTCTCCCGCAAAAACAGCCAGGCGTGGCCCAGCCCCTCCCTCCTATCCGCTTCTCACCCCTGATGGCTCCCCCGGGACTCCTGCCCCATCCAATGCCCCTGTCCCCTGACGGCCGCCCCGGGACTCCTACCCCATCCACCACCCCCTACTGCCTGCCCTCTCACCACCCCCCGGACCCTCTACCCCTGACTGCCCCCTGCCGCCCCATCCAACACCCCCATCTCATTCCTGACTTGCCCCCAGGGACCCCTGCCCCATGCAACCACCCCTTCTCTCTATCCCCTGACCGCCCTCGGAACCCCTGCCCCTGACTGCCCCCCCGCCGCCCCATCCAACCCCCCTCTCCTTCCTGACTGCCCTCCGGGACCCCTGCCCCATCCAACCCCTCTGACCGCCCTGCCCCCTATCGACACCCCCGCCCCCTGACCACCACCCCGAACTCCCCTGCCCTTTATCCACCCCCCCCCCTTACCGTGCTACCTGGAGCACCGGTGGCTGGCGGCACTACAGCCGTGCCACCCAGTGCACCAGGTCAGGCCACAGCTCTGCAACTGTGCTGCCCGGCCGCCCAGAGCATTGCACCGGTGGCACGGTACGCTGAGACTGCGGGGGAGGGGCTGGGGACTAGCCCCCAGGCCAGGATCTCAGGGGCTGAGCAGGAGGGTCCCGTGGGCCGGATGCGGCCCGTGGGCCGTGGTTTGCCCACCTCTCTTGTAGCTGCTTCCACGACTTTACATTGACTACCCAGGCATTTTAGGCTTCACAGTGATACACAGAGTGACATTCCTGGAATATTTTATATGCTAATCATTTTTGAATAGTGCATTATTTGTTCAAACAATTCTCAGTAATATACTCAAGAAAATATAATTAATTAGTCTGTGCACAAACTATTATTAAACCTATGTAGTACCGGATTTCTCCCTCTTACAGGTCAAGAAATGAACTCAACCTTACATATGCCACCAGTGCTTATATCTTGAATAGGATCTCTCAATTATTTGTAAATTAATACGATACACAGGAAAATACAAACTGGAACTTCGGAGTGGCCAAAACAGCCAGGTTGAAAGGATGAGTAAACCCTAAGTTTATTGTCATAGTTCACATTAGCAGCTCTCACTCCAACTGACGAACAATTCATGTCACAGCAGCAAGGCTGCAGCTACCAGGCTTGGCACAGGCTCCTGCTCTCCACCATCTGGCAGCCTGGCAACACATTCCTCCAGGATCAAAGAAGAAGCAGCTCTTGGCAGTTACCTCCATGCTGTGGAGTGGTGGTGAAACACTCCAAATGTCACAAAATTTAAATAAAGAAATATAGCAGACAACTAACATTTCAAAGTGCAGCAGGCACTCCAATACCAGGGGTCACCGTTTTGCCTAACGGCCCTGGTAGCACCAGCCACACTGCTGTCACAGACGTTCCAGACTAGCAGCAGGGAGAGCTAATAGCAACGAACAACTACGATGATAGTTACTTTCCATTAAAATAGATTTCTTGATAGAGGAAAATGTGGTGTAAATGGGATCATCAGGGTACTGATCAAAGCTATCAGCCACACATAAGCACAATGGTGTAAAATAAAAGTGGATCAAGTTTAACTTTTTTCTGTTTTGTTAGTTTGTACAACAGCCATAACATGAACTTAGTACATTTTTTTATGGTGTTAATATTCCCTGTTTAACAGCTGCTCATATCAAGAATTTACATATTAAGAAATGCTCAAATAGGCTTTAACACTATGAACCACAGTATAAGAGTCCCCAAATGTAGAGTAAAGACACACCTGAATCCATAGGGTCTGTACCTTACATGGCTCTCTATACATCCAAAGTCTCCTACTTCTCTTTTCTTGAGCAGGTCCTGCAGCAGTGTGCTCTCCACCCACCTTTCACCCTGGCCCTCTAGGTCATTAGGCCCCTGCCCATCCCAACAAGCCACCTGAATAGGCTGAATACCATCCAGCTGGTCTGTCTCCGAACGGCACCCAGAAAACATCTGTACACATACTTCATACCATCCACTTCCTCGCCCTTATGTCCTGCCCCAACACCAAGTTCCAGGACCTGCTGACACCTGAGGAGGGTGAGGAACCTCGGTGGACCAGCCTGTACCCCACTCCGGTATCACGGCTTGCTGAGGATATTAGTTGATGGCTCCTCCATGGAGCCATAAGTACAGGCATGTATTTGGCATTATTTACGAACTCCCAACACCTGTTCTTTTTGCGGTGAGAGGAAGACTCTGGCACGCATTTAACATAGAGTACATCAGGCTGTAGTCCCTCTTCCGGCTCCTCCAGAACCTCTTACTTCACTTTCCCTCTCACTTGTTTATCCTAGCACATCCTAGCCGCAGCGCCACAAAAAGTCACGAGACCTCCTCATCAACCTCCTCTTGGTACTGGCCAAGATGGCCAACCATCATACCAGGAGGAAGAAACTGGATGGCAGGTGCTCTGCTACTGTGGGACCTATTTCTGGTTCCTTGTCCAATCATGTCCCCAGGCAGAGTTCCTCTGGATAGTGTCCACTGACTCCTCAGACACCTTTGAGGAGCATAGGGAATTGTTGAGGGATTCTCTGCTTGGGCTCCTCCTCTGGATCCTTAACTTTGAACCTTTAAGTTTCACTCCTGTCTCTTTCTTAACCCCCATTTGTTATCCTTAATATTTAATTGTGGCCTGGGTTCAATGACCCCTTTCCTTTGGTTTAGGGAGCAAGCCTTTGGCTTTGAGTGGGCTTAGGCCTACCGTCTCCCAGCAACCACAGTAAGTACACGCCCAAGAAGTCCCTCCCCACTCTACACTGCTGTTTTTAGCAGTGTAGTATCCTGCTGCCAGAGTCTTTGCCGCAGCAGGAAACGCTCAGGCAGCGGGGAGGCAGTGGGAAAAGGCTTTGGCAGGGGGAGCTGCTGGGGCATTTCCCTGCTGCTGCCCCCCTGCCAGAGCCTTTCACTGAAGCCTGTAGCTACACAGCGCCCTACATGCTGCTGCTAGTGAGATGCTGGGTAGACATAGCCTAAAAGGCTTTTGAATATATCATTATGTTTGGCACAATTGTCAGTTTTCACTTGGGTAGCAGGGGCATTGCAGTTCAAGAGAGATGAACTTAGGAAGTTTTGGCAACACCTATCTCCATTATTACAAGCTACAGCTATTACTTTTTCCATTCATGAACACCAAATCATTTTAAAGCAAGTACGTGTTTTGCCTTAATTGTCCAAAGTGGTTCCTCTGAAACTTTCCTTTGTCAACATATTCAGACATGAGTAAAAACAGTAACATCTCAATAGGTAAATACAACACATAAAAGAGATACTTACGAAGCTAAGAGTTCTAGAGCAACAAGCTTGTCTTTACTAAAGGTGAAGCAGTTAAGAATATTAACCACTTTTGATGCTGGAACAGCTACCATTTTCTGACAACAAAAGAAGGGAAAATAAAAAATAAGACAGTATACTTATTTTTAGTACAGTATGTAACTTTAAAATCTTCATTATCAGGAATTTCAATAAACAATTAATCATCTTACACTCTCTGGGGAACAGTATTCTTAAGTGCTAAATGCTGAATACATAACAGAACCCCAATTCTGGCAAACTGTATGCTACTGCAAAACGTTTACATTAATTAGTCATAATTACCAAGAACTAAATTATTCCCTGGGATATATGGTACAGAAAGAGTAAAATCAAGATACTCCCGATAGAAGCAGAGAGTAAGAGAAGCTACATAGCATGATGCCATCAGAAGAAAAAGAGGCGAAGAAGAAAGCACACAGATTATAAACTATGCCCATGCGATGGGAATATAGATGTGGTTATGGAAATTAAGGGCAGAGGAAACAGGCGGAGACAAGGATTGCTCCATGAAAACATACATGTTGTAAAGCCTTCATTGCCTTTAGTTGTGGTTCAGCCCAAGAAAAGTATCTCAGTAATTCAACAATCTGAAACAGAAAAACCTACAGTTCACCTCTTATATATACACATATGTTTTGCTGACAATGTTAAATATCTTTGCGGCCACTCTAGTCATTGAGTGTGGTGGCATTTTGCTAAGCACTGTGTGCATATATAGGTGATAGCTGATCAGGAATTATTACACAACAGTATCAGTCATTAGCCAGGATGGGCAGGGATGGTGTCCCTAGCCTCTGTTTGCCAGAAGCTAGGAATGGATGACAGGGAATGGATCACATTTGATGATTATCTGTTCTGTTCATTCCCTCTGGGGCACCTGATATTGGCCAGTGTCTGAAGACAGGATACCTGGCTAGATGGACCTTTGGTCTGACCCAGTATGGAGGTTCTTATCCAGTGTATTTTTTGTTTTATCTAATTCCTTAAAACCCCATCAGGTAGCAAGGTAGATTTTTAGGTAATTATTTAAAATAAACATATTTTATAGTCTTCTTTTCATATACACAAATACCTGATCAAATATCACACATGCTAGAGTATTATACACTTTTAAAAAAGAAGCCTTAGAGAAGATTATAATCATTTAGTTTAAAACAATAGCATCCAAATTTATACACACACACACACACACACATATATATATACACACATACATACACATACACATACACACACACACACACAGAAAAACCCATAACATTATTTTACCTAGCACCAAAGTAACAGTCTTTATTTTCTAAGCTTATAAGTAAAGACAGGTTCAAAATATTCCATCATCATTAAGGTTCCGATTTCCATGATAATTAACTGTAGATAATTCCCTCTCACACGCTAAGAGCAAAAATCTGATCTCTATTAATTGGTAAAAATCTGGACCCCATTATTATGTTACTCCAGATTAAAACTGGCGTAACAAAGAATTTATCACAAATCTCCTAAATTAGTAGAAAGACAACTAGTGAAATCTGACCTGGCTTTGCATAGTAGGAGGAATTGTCTTTGTACATGAATGTATAGAGTGAATCCTGAATTTTAATTTTTCCATAAATACATAGCCATATGTTGAATATTATTACCTGTTCACTAGAGAAGTATCCATGCACATATTCTATAGCTTTTAATTTGTATTCAGTCAACACAGCCTAAAAGACAAAGAAAGGCATTTAGTTGACAAAAGAACAATTAAAACATACCAGCTTCAGGACAAATGTATTCAAGAGAAAAACATATCTAATCTCACAAAAGTTTGCATCAATTACACTGAAATATTTCTATACCACAGAATACTCCTTGAACAATTATGTGAATATTTTCAAGTGGAGGGAGATTTAAAATAAATAAATAAATAAATAAGATGAACTTCTTAATAAAAAGAAACTAACAAAGTAAAAGAGTTTACCATATCTCTGTTTAGGTTCAGACTGGAAGAATACCATAATGCTCCTCCTTTCAAGCTTTAGATACACTGGCTTTAATATTGTCTCTCTAATGGCTCTTGAAACCAAGAGATGGCAGTTAATTACTTCAAACTGCAGCTTATATATATTCCTATTTAAGGCACTTAGTTGTATATCTTGCTTTAGTTACTTTTATGAAAAATCTAGACACACTCATTCTGGGCATTTCTTGGGGACAGGCTGCTAGAAATATAAAGGTGATGATAACTAAAATTATGGTCATGAAAGTTAGCTCTAGAAAATGATGTGATTCTCCTGTCACACATGTTTAATACACACTTGTACAAAACATATGGAAGCAGAGTGGCACAGTGGTTAGGGAACTGGACTGGTACTTAGGAGATTGGTTCTATTCCACCTTCTGCCACTGATCTGCTGTAAGACCTTGGACAAATCACTTCATCCTTCTGTGCCTCTGTTTGGCCATCTATAAAAGGGGGATGATACTTACCTCCTTTATAAAATACTTTGAGATTCGCAGGTGAAAAATCACTACATAAGAGCAGTTATAATAATTAGGCCAGGTCTTGGGGTCACGTATGAGCAAAGGGTGCTTTAACTACTCCAAAGGTCCAAAACTAAAAACATATTCAGTGATCATCATTGCATGAGGGTGTCGCAACCTTAGGTAGACAATCCTGGGGCAAGTTATGCTATCTTTAGGGCCCGCACAAAGAAACTGCACTAGACTGACCCATTATTTCTATATTAGATGTTTTTTGATACGATGATATCTGTTAGATGTCCAAGCTTACGGCCCGTAACAAGATCTTCAAACTAGAGGCAATATTATTTCAGTGCATTCCTACCTAGCAAACATAACTATTCTGTTGTGAAACTCAACAATCAAGTTGTTAAATCTAACTTAACCATAACAAAAATAATCACTCTGGTTTTATCCCCTCTAGAAGTCAAGGAAAAGGTAGAAAGGAAAAGAACTCTCTCTTTGTGTACAGTATGTAGCCTCCTTCCCCCCACCCCCCACCCCCTCCAGCTCAGGCCTCTAGGGACTACAACATTAGTAAATGCTCTCTCTGTACCATACCACTCTAGTATGATCAAGCTATTTATAAACAAAATTCATCTCTACCCATAAAGTTGGGACTAAATAACGGCATTCTTACTGAACTCCTAAATTCCTATTCCTCTGCTTCCATTTAAAAAGTTATTTCCAGAAATCAAGACATCATCATAACATGTGGTATGTTTAGAGGAAGTGAAATGGGCTGCAGACCTTAGAATAATACCAGTATCTCTTTTTTGTTTGTTTGTTTGTTTTTAAAAGATTCTGGGAGATTCTTATTTACTGTGTCCAAATATCCAGGAAGATCGCATAAAATTTTAAGATATTACACATCTATACACTTCTGAAAAACCTTGTTTCAGAATTTTATTCAAAATACACAGTTCTGAACTTGTTCCCAGTACTTTGTTTTTATTTACAATAGAACCCACAATGTCCTAGGAGCTGTACAACCAGTCAAAAAAGGTCTGTGCTTGAAGGAGTTTAGTCTCGGGACAGAAACAGACTGGCAAGGAAAGAGAGGTCAGGGGAAAGGTCAGGAGTCACTGTAAGTAGCTCCGCAGAAGTGGTTCTTTCAAAGGGACCTAAATGAGGAGTTTAAAAGCCTTGTGGATGGTCATATGGATAGCGGGCTGTACGGAAGAAGGCAGAGAAATGGTTGTGTAATAAGACAAATGGGTCAACCAGGCTGAGAGCACTAGACGAGTGGAGATTGGCAACATGAAACTTCACAGAGAAGAAAAGTTACGTAGAGATTTACAGGAGGTGACAAGAAGCTTAATTTTAATGCAATAGCAGATGGGGGACCAGTGGAGGGATTCAAAGGAAAGAGTTATCTGATCAAATACATGTGTTCCAGAGTGCAGTGATGAGATTCTGAACCAAAAGGTTTGGCTGCAGGGATGGAAATGAACAGAACGGAATTTGAAGGTTCTGAGAAGGCAGCAGCAGGAGGATTCGGATATGGCCTTAATATGCAAGAGAGCAAAAGAAGTCAAACAGTCACAAGATTATAGGCCTGAGAAATGGCGGGCATGTTGCTGATAGTCATGAAGAACTTCTGTTTTGGGCATATTCAATTGGAGACGACAAAACATCCAAGGAGAGATATATGATTGGAGAGAAGGAGTTAGTGGCAAAGCTATATCTACAAGTCATCAGCATAAAGATAATGTCTTGTGTCATGTGAGCCAATGACTAAGATCGCTTCTTTAAAAGGACTGAACAGTTTTATAAGGAACAATACATTAGTTTGTGTTTTCAGAGATTGCAGGTAAATGCTCAGGTATGTCTATACTACAAATTACTTCGGTATAATTTACATCACTCAGTGGTGTGAATAATCCACATCCCTGCCCGATATAAGTTATACCGACCTTAGCACTGGTGTGGACAGCGCTATGTCGGCAGGAGAACTTCTTCTGCCTACGTAGCTACTGCCTTTCACGGAAGCAGGAGTTATTAAGATGACCAGCTCAGAGTGTCTTCACCAGAAATGCTGCAACGGCGCAGCTGCACCACTGCAGCTGCTGTAGTGTAGACAGAGCCTCAGACACATAGCACAGTTGCTCAAGTTCTTTTCCAGTTAGAAATAAGATACTCAAGTTATAGCTCAAGCATTAGATTGTTTCCTTAATTACACCCCAGCACTTGGAAGCTGGCATTCTAAAGCCACAACTCTTTGGGGAAAAGAAAAAAAATATCAGTGATATTGTTTCAGCTTTAGACTAGCAGTCAATGCTGCACATTGGTAACTCCCCTTGAAAACAAAAGAAACTGAAAGGATATATTCAGGGAAAGAATTAAGTGATATTCATGCCAAAATAGCTTGCTGTTCAATTACAGATCACATTTTAAATTATTTATTTCCAGTTTCATAATAAAAGGATACAAGAATTATTTGTCACTGTGGTACAGACCTGGTCTTAAAATTTTTACACAAGTGGTTCTAGTCAGTCAATGGGCCTACTCATCAATAATTTACTAGAAAGGGACTTGGATTGTAGGTACAGTACTAACAAGAAAAAGTGGTAACCTTTCCTTCAGTCACATGTTTAGAGCGAAGTTGTTAACAGTCTGAGTAACAACAGCATGATAAAACTTGCATTTAAGGTATTTTAAGTTAGACCAAAAAGCAGCTGGTATCTCTAAAATATAACTCAGAAATCTGAACTTTATTTAATGGAAGGCTATGAAATTAATTCTGACAGAAAATTTTACGCTATTGTTACAAGTAGTAGAAGACACCTAAAACACTACAGGAAGCTGAGGTTTCCTTTAGTTTCATCCAGATAGAAAGAATAGTAAATATGGCAGGCGACCAGCTTGGCTTCACAGTGAAATCCTTGCTGATCTTAAACACAAAAAAGAGGCTTACAAGAAGTGGAAGATTGGACAAATGACCAGGGATGAGTATATAAATATTGCTCGGGCATGTAGGAATGGAATCAGGAAGGCTAAATCACACCTGGAGTTGCAGCTAGCGAGGAATGTTAAGAGTAACAAGAAGGGTTTCTTCAGGTATGTTGGCAATAAGAAGAAAGCCAAGGAAAGTGTGGGCCCCTTACTAAATGAGGAAGGCAACCTAGTGACAGAGGATGTGGAAAAAGCTAGTGTACTCAATGCTTTTTTTGCCTCTGTCTTCATGAACAAGGTCAGCTCCCAGACTACTGCACTGGGCAGCACAGCATGGGGAGGAGGTGGCCAGCCCTCTGTGAAGGAAGAAGTGGTTCGGGACTATTTAGAAAAGCTGGACGTGCACAAGTCCATGGGGCCGGATGCGTTGCATCCGAGAGTGCGAAAGGAATTGGCGGATGTGGTTGCAGAGCCATTGGCCATTATCTTTGAAATCTCATGGCGATCGGGAGAAGTCCCGGAAGACTGGAAAAAGGCTAATGTAGTGCCAATCTTTAAAAAAGGGAAGAAGGAGGATCCTGGGAACTATAGGCTGGTCAGCCTCACCTCAGTCCCCGGAAAAATCATGGAGCATGTCCTCAAATAATCAATTCTGAAGCACTTAGAGGAGAGGAAAGTGATCAGGAACAGTCAGCATGGATTCACCAAGGGAAAGTCATGCCTGACTAATCTAATTGCCTTCTATGATGAGATAACTGGTTCTGTGGATGAAGGGAAAGCAGTGGACGTGTTATTCCTCGACTTTAGCAAAGCTTTTGACACGGTCTCCCACAGTATTCTTGTCAGCAAGTTAAAGAAGTATGGGCTGGATAGATGCACTACAAGGTGGGTAGAAAGTTGGCTAGATTGTCGGGCTCAACGGGTAGTGATCAATGGCTCCATGTCTAGTTGGCAGCCGGTATCTAGCGGAGTGCCCCAAGGGTCGGTCCTGGGGCCAGTTTTGTTCAATATCTTTGTTAATGATCTGGAGGATGGCGTAGATTGCACCCTCTGCAAGTTTGCAGATGACACTAAACTGGGAGGAGTGGCAGATACGCTGGAGGGGAGGGATAGGATACAGAGGGACCTAGACAAATTGGAGGATTGGGCCAAAAGAAATCTGATGAGGTTCAACAAGGACAAGTGCAGAGTCCTGCACTTAGGATGGAAGAATCCAATGCACAGCTACAGACTAGGGACTGAATGGCTAGGCAGCAGTTCTGCAGAGAAGGACCTAGGGGTGACAGTGGACGAGAAGCTGGGTATGAGTCAACAGTGTGCCCTTGTTGCCAAGAAGGCCAATGGCATTTTGGGGTGTATAAGTAGGGGCATTGCCAGCAGATCGAGGGACGTGATCGTTCCCCTTTATTCGACATTGGTGAGGCCTCATCTGGAGTACTGTGTCCAGTTTTGGGCCCCACACTACAAGAAGGATGGGGATAAATTGGAGAGAGTCCAGCGAAGGGCAACAAAAATGATTAGGGGACTGGAACACATGAGTTATGAGGAGAGGCTGAGGGAACTGGGATTGTTTAGTCTACGGAAGAGAAGAACGAGGGGGGATTTGATAGCTGCTTTTAACTACTGATAGCAGATGTCAGGACAAGGAGTAATGGTCTCAAGTTGCAGTGGGGGAGGTTTAGGTTGGATATTAGGAAAAACTTTTTCACTAGGAGGGTGGTGAAACACTGGAATGCGTTACCTACGGAGGTGGTGGAATCCCCTTCCTTAGAAGCTTTTAAGGTCAGGCTTGACAAAGCCCTAGCTGGGATGATTTAGTTGGGATTGGTCCTGCTCTGGGTAGGGGGTTGGACTAGATGGCCTCCAGAGGTCCCTTCCAACTCTGTTATTCTATGATTCTATGAGTTGCCATAAACCTTTTACATAATGAAAAGCAGAGAGAACATATTTTAAAAATAACAAAATAAAATTGCAAAAATTGACATGGGAATTCAGGGAGAGACACAGTATCTGAAACTACTTTCAATACATTTTTAAAGTTGACTAGATTTCAAGTTCACCCTGAATACTTAGTTTCTCTCTCATATACATATATACCACTTCACTATTTTTACAGTGCCTTCAATACTAGGATCTGAAATCACTTACATATCATGAGTTAAGACTCACAAACATATCTAATGTTGGGAAGTGTTAATCCCATTTTACAGACTGGGAAATGGAGGCAAACAAGTTATGCAATTCATTCATCATCACTGTCATTAGCTCTGCAGAACATTCCAGTAGAACATTTCAGGCTAGCGGTTTGTCAGACAAGAAAACGTTTAACCTACTTTTAAAGATTAGAGACCCAAATTTAATTTAACCAACCAGTAAGTTATTTTTAAAATTGCACTTTTTATGAATTTCTTCTTTTATCATTGATCAAAAGTATTTGCTGGGGAAGATTTAGCCTCATATCCATAATAAGTATTTAATGTCACTAGCACTCAGTAAAATTTTATTTTCAAAGTATTATATCCTCTAAAAGAATTATGGTTTCAAGATTAACAAAATTTTTTTTAAAAAATGCCAGTTTAGGCAGGGCCTTTGACTAATGGGATAACAAATTAATTCAATGTGTGATTAACTTTTAGGGGTGTTCTTTTAAGATACTGAATTAATTTTACTTGAAATCAAAAATTTTATTTAAACGTGGATGTTGCTGCCACTTTACAAACAACTCAATTCTAAACGGAACACCTATGATGTAAAAATGTATGTTAAAGAGAAAGTGTGGGAAACAGATCAAAATAAGATGTATTACATATAAAGACAAATACATGTCAGTGTTAGTCAAATTCCACATGAAATAGTAGCAGTATTTAACTTTCCAACTATCTTCTATCCCATGAATTTTTAGCATAATACAACTTTATAAACATATTTCCTAAATCTGGTCAAGGAAGAAAATGATGCAAATTTAAAATATACCTAAGATAAATGGGTCATTTTGGTGTTCCTTAAATCTTCATCACATCTGGGATGAGAATACAAGCTTTAGAACTGGCTAGTCCATTTAAACAACTTAAAGTTAGCCAGTATCAAACATAAATGTTTTGATAGCGCATGATCCAGTTTAATATTAAAATGCCTGCCAGTTTTCTGAGCAAATGAAAAGTGTTCGAAAACTTGTTCATACATGATCAAAAGTCAGGGAGGGATTACGCATACTTTTTAAAAAAAGTACAAAATGCAAAATATAGCATTAATTTTGAAACCTTTATAATATGTTGAACTTCCCTAACACCTTTCATCTAAGAATCTCACGGTATTTTACAGACATGAACGAACTAAGTCTCATAGCATGCCTCGTTCCATGTAAAGACTGAGGAAACCTGAGGCTTCAAGAGACTGAGGGACTTGTCTACACTTACCGGGGAATCCACACATGGTAATTGATGCATCGGCGGTCGATTTAGCATGTCTAGTGAAGACCCGCTAAATTGACTGCAGATCGCTCTCCCGTCAACTCCTGTACCCCACCTGAACGAGAAGGGCAAGGGGAGTCGATGTGAGAGCATCTTCCATCGTGAGAGCATCTTCTGTCAACATAGCATAGTGTGGACCCCACGGTAAGTAGATATAAGTACATCAACTTTAGCTATATGAATAACGTAGCTGAAATTTTGTAACTTAGATCGATCTCCCCCCGTAGCGTAGACAAGGCCTAAGTAACTAGATAGAGACTGCACAGGAACTCTAGAACAGCAAGAAAATCAAAGCAGGTCTGCTGTCTTTCACTCTCATGCCTTAACTATACAATGTAATATATGCTACTTACAAGTCCAGAACAAAATAATTTAGAACAGTGATTTTTAACCTGTGGTCCTCTGAGCTTGGGGGTCCGCTGACTATATCTAAGAGGTCCATGAAAAGTTGTCAACATGCATCCAATGAAGCGAGCTGTAGCTCACGAAAGCTTATGCTCAAATAAATTGGTCAGTCTCTAAGGTGCCACAAGTGCTCCTTTTCTTTTTGCGGATACAGACTAAGGACGGCTGCTACTCTGAAACTTACAACAGTGGTTTTCAACATGTGGTCCACAGACCCCTGGAGGTCTGCAGACTAAGATTTCCACCTCATTTGAAAATTTTTACAGGTCTGCAAATGAAGAAAGGTTGAAACCCACTTTTTAAAAAATCTATTATACATTTATATTTTTAACCTTTTATGAACTATTCAAGTTTCAACACAATCTCATGAGATGTAATCTCTCTGTCATGAGGAATGCAGATGGAAGCAAACATGCCACACAAGATGAATCTCGACTAAATTTGGTTTACATTCAGCAAAAACTAGTAAGTCTTATCACCGTATCATTCTGCTCTTTGAAGAGCGGGCAATAATTTGACTTTTACTGCCTTCCAGAAGTAACAACAATTAAGGCAAACAGTGGTTAACTAACTGTACTCCAGCAAGGAGTTTTGCATTTACACAATTAAACCAAAAATGTAAAAAGATAAGTTACCTTTCTAATTTCATCAAGCACGGTCTCAAATGATTTCTTATCCATCTTTACTTGTTCATCCAATGCAGATTTTTATTTAAAGAAAAAATACATCCAGGCCAGACTCTTTACTGCAGAAGTGTCTTTTTTATTGTAGAAGAAAAGCACGGGAAAGAGACACTTTACAGAGCTGAAAAAAATCCTTTGACACGCTCAATAAGAAAAAGGGTCAGGGCAGGGGATGCGACACTTTTGGACAGCGGTGCGGATTTCAGTCACAATATAAATGCTTGGTCCAATGCACTGTTCAGCAGGAGACGGGGATTAACGCTCCCTGCCTCGGAACTGGCACACTGAAGGGGGGGGAAAGAGTTACATGGTTTTGTGAGGACGGGGAGAGAAAGGGGACGAAGAAGAAACAAGGGGAGCAGGGGGCAGTAGAAAGGGGGGTGGGACGCGGGGCAGCGCCTGGCTCAGGTGCCGCCGGGGACACGGGGCGATAGGGCTGTGCAACTGCCTCAGCCTCTTGCCGCTCCCGTCAGCGCGCGGCCCTCAGGCCCGGCAGCCCCCGGGCTCCGCCGCTGCCCATCGCCAGCAAAGCTCCCCGGCTCTTTGTTACCAGCAGCAACAAAAGCCACGGCACTGCCGCGATGGGCGGGGGAGGCCGCCAGGGAAACGGCCCCGGCTCAGAACCTGGCACGGCCAACCCTCAGCCCGGGGCCGTCGCCGCCACCAGTGAGCTGTAGAGCGCCCTGCCCAAGCAATAACCATCAGCGACGAGGTTTCTCCTCGCCACTGGGGTCCACAATATCCATGAATCGCACCCCGATGACATCATCAACCTGCGTCCATTGTATCTCTCCGACGACCCCTCATGCGGCAGAAACCCCAACAGAAGTTGACTGAGCAGAATGCCTGAATCCGAGCGGAATGGTCTCTCGTCTCTCTCTTGCAGCGATCAGAACCCCAGCTACTGTGCTCCTAGCATCCTGCCGAAAGGCCTGCTATCGAGTGTTTAAAGATTCCTGGATACCGGACATTGTTGTCCTGCGCTCAGGCACTCAAGTAGACAACCCCAAAGGCGAGCAACAGGGTATAAAAAATTGCGAGGGAGGCCTGACCGCACCGTCTCCGCGTCCGAAGTCACGTGACTGACACACGCCCAGGCGCCGCCTGTTGTCACGTGACAAAGCTGCAGTCTTCCAGGCAGGAACCGTGGCTCTGCCTGGAGCCTGCCATGGCATGCCCGGCTCGCGCACGCTGAGAGGGTGGGGCCTCGGCCTGACGTGCGCCGGCTCGGGGGCGGGCGAGGGCGAGCCCGGCGGTGACGCTGTCCGGGCTGCATGAAGCTGCGCGGCAGGCCCGGCCTGGCGGTTGCCATGGGCAGCGCGGTAGCAGCGCTGCTGGTTTTCTATTGCGCGCTCTCGGGATCCCAGGTGGGTCTGGGCAGGGGGCGCGGGCCGGGGCTCCGCTAGGCGCCGTGGAGAGCGCGGGGGGATCCGCCTACAAGTGGGTGGGGTGGGCTTAGTCCCCCCCTCCCCCCGTGCCTGCTGGCTCCGTAGCGCCCCGCCGTGTCCTTCATCCCCACCCTGGGCCTGTCCCCGGCCCCACGCCCGGATCCAGGTGTCCAGGTACCTCGCTCGGGCAGGGGGAGATGACTGCTGGAGGAAGGGGGAGCCGGCTCCTTCCTCTCTGTCTCTTCCCAAGCCAAACCCTCTCCCTCTCCCAAAGAGCTGAACTTGGGTCTCTGCTCCCAGATCCTTATTTCTGGTGCCTAGTTAACTTAGTCAAAGGGCAGCATTATTTAAAAATGTATCAGGGTAAGAGTCACTTTTTAGAAATGTCATCTAATGAACATGATAAAAATGTAAAGTACTAATTACTGTACTAGTTATTCAGGTAAGAAGCTGGGTGTTGACTGGCTCTTTGTGACAAAATAAGCCTCAGGTCCCCTAGCAGGCATGTCCCTGCAACAGTCAGCCTGTTCTGAAGGAACTGGGGCACCCCACTCACTGATCCCAAAGCTTTGTTCCTGTGCAGTGTGCTGTCGCATAGCACCCCATCCCCCTTCCATAGTGTAAATCAGGGGTCTCAAACACGCGGCAGCCCACAGAGTTATTTGCTGCGGCCCGCCAAGCTTCCTGTGCCCCCCCCACCCGAGTTATTTCCTGCAGCCACCAAGCTCCTCTCCCCCGCCGCCTCCCCTCCCCCCACCCCCAGCGTGCTGCATCCCCTCTCCTCTGCCTACCTGCAGGTGCTTCCCGCCACCAAACAGCTGTTTGGTGGCGCTTAGCGCTTTCCAGAAGAGAGGGGAGAAGAGGTGGGGCAGGGGCATGGATTTGGGGAAGGGGTTGGAATAGGGGCAGGGAGGGGGAAGAGTTGGGTTGGGGGCTTTGGGGAAGGGATTGGAATGGGGGTGGGGAAGGGGGCAGGGGATGTCAGTGATGTGGCCCTCGGGCCAATGTCATGCCGCCCTTGTGGTGATTCGAGTTTGAGATTCCAGCTGTAAATGGTGATGGAATAAGGAAGTGGGTTTGACTGGCTGTGCATGACAAACTGTTTCTCAGGTCACCCAAAATGACACATTGCCACAACCATCTGACTGTTTGGAAGGAACTAGGACATGCTGCCACTCACTAACCTGAAGCTTTGTTCTTGGATAGCATGCTGCCACTTGTTATGCCCCCACCCCATTTCCATATTGTAAATGGTGCTTGAATAGGGAACTGGATTTTGACTGGCTATAAGTGATAAAATAAGTCTTTGGTCACCCTAAGTGACATGTCCTCACAACCATTAAGCTGTTCTAATGTAGCTGAGACATGGAACTGCCTTACTTGAAACTTTTATATTGCAAAAAATTGTGGCCCATTTCCCCCCACCCCCACACAATCTCTTGTGAAATGGGCCGCAATTTTTGCAGAGTTTCAAGAAAGATAGGTCTATGGGTCAGCTACATCAGAACAGCTTAATAGTTGTGGGGACATGTCACCAAAGACATATTTTATCACATACAGCCAGTCAAAATCCAGTTCCCTGTTCAAGTATTGTTTACAATGTGGAAGTAGGATAGAGGCATAAGAGATGGGTGTAGTTAGAGTTTGCTGTCAAAGTGAGGGGATGTATCTAGTGGGGTCCTGCTGGGGTCTAGCCTGGGTCTGGTACTAGTCAATAGTTTCAGTAATGACATAGCTAATGGAGTGAAGAGTATGCTTATACAATTTGCAGATGACACCAAAGTGGGAGGGGTTGCAAAGTTTTGGAGGAAAGAATAGAATTCAAAATGACCTTGACAAAGTCAAGAATTGGTTGGAAATCAGCAATATGAAATTCAATAAAGACAAGTTCAAAGTGTCACAGTTCATGGCAACTGCATTTGTATTCATCCTCCATGGTCCTATGAGGGAACCCACTCTAGGCTTCCGGTTCCTCAGATGTCACTTAACTTGAGCAGAGACCCATGTTTCTTTCCCTCCTAACCAGGGGTGCACAGCTCCCTAGCTACACTGTGAGATTTCCAGCAAGCCAAGCTGCCTAATGAGGCCAGCATCTACACTTCACTTTCTCTTTGAAGGATATGAACAGTGTAATTGCCTTCATTTGCAAGTTACCATATAGCCCTTTATAAGCAAGCACATTTATTCTTAAGGTGAAAGTATCATAGAGAAAACATATTAAAACAACAAAAGAACCTACATGCATACTAATAAGCGTACTATAGATCACCCTCAACTCCACCAAGGGCTCTGGTAGGAGACAGTCCTTCAAACTCCACAAAAGGGTTTTTCTGTGGTTACAAGTTCATAACAACCGCAGCTCAGAACCAGAATTGCTAGGAAAGGTCACTCTTTCCTTGATTAGATTCTGGGAACGTGTAAGTAGTAGACAGTGAGCCCCTATGAAGAGCGTAACTTCTAAAGTCTGGTTTTTTTTTTTTGCAAAACCAGAGGGGGGAAATTTGCATTCCCCTACCCATAGCGATCCTCAGGAAAATCACTTGACACCACCCTAATTGTCCGTTCTTGTCTGGCCCGTTGTTCAGTATACTTCTCTGAAGTTATTAACACTTCCTGGGGTTTACATCCTATTTCTCCATTAGAGAAGTGAAGACAATCCTCGTCCACAATAATACATAACCGTTGCATTTAATGCAATGGACTTGAAATATACTTAACCTTAATTCAGGAAGGTTTCCTAGGGATATTGCAGGAAATTGCCATATATGTCACACAAAGTATTATACATAGGAAGGAAAAATCAAACGGATAACTACAAACTGAGGAATAACTGGCTAGGTGGTAGTACTGCTGAAAATGATCTGGGGCTTTTAGTGGATCACAGATTGAATATGAGTCAGGCTACATTTTAGTCACGGGTATTTTTAGTAAAAGTCATGGGCACTAAACAAATATTCACGGCCTGTGAGCTGTCCATGACTTGACTAAAACTTGAGGGGCTGCTGCAGGATTCTTGGGGGGGGCGGCGGGGGAGGGCATTGCAGGTACTGGGGAGGCTTGTGGGGCTGGGGCAGGCTCCCTACCCGGCTCCTGAGCTCCATGTGCTGCCTCCACTCCGCCCCAAGCCCTGGTTCTACAGCTCCTATTGGCTGGGAACCGCGGCCAATGGGAGCTGCAGGGGTGGTGCCTGCTGTTAGAGGCAGCTCATGGAGCTAGGAGCTGAGGGAGGGGAGCCCCCCTCCAGGTAAACACCACCCCGCACCCCAGCCCTGAGCCCCACCACACCCAACTCCTGCTGCTGGGGGGCTGAGGTGGGAAGACTGCTCCAGCAGTCGCCGGTGTGCCTGGCTGCCCGAGCTGATCAGTCCAGAGGAGAAAAGCAAAAATGATAAAAGGTTTAGAAAACATGACCTAAAAGGAGAGATGGGCAAGTTTAGTCTTGAGAAAAGAAGATTGAAGGGTCATGACAACAGTTTTGAAATATGTTAAAGGTTGTTATAAAGAGGACAGTGATTAATTGTTCGGCATGTCCACTTAGGTTAGGACAAGAAGTCATTGGCTTAATCTGCTACAAGGAAGATTTAGGTTAGGCATTAGTAAAAACTTTCTAACTGTCAAGATAGATAAACACTGGATTAGGCTTCCAGGGGAGGTTGCAGAATCCCCATCATTGGATGTTTTTAAGAACAGATTACCTAGACCATCCCTGCCAGGTGTTTATCTATACTTGAGAATCTATGAAATCCTGTTACTGGCCGTTCTGCACACACACTTTTATCAAAGTTTCCCCTCCATGTGGATGTTTGGTGCAATAGGTGGTTGTGTCAGGATTACAGACCATAAAGCAGCAGACAGCACCAGATTATGCAGCAATTCTATGCAGAAGTTTATGAAGAAACTTCCCTTCTGTGCAAAACAGGGTCTGACCATACAGATCCTTAGGAATGCTTAAATATAGGTGTCACCAATAATCAGCACTAACAGCAGCAACCATTGCTCAATTAATAAAAATATTATAATAAATAGCAACATCTATACTTATTTTACAGTTTCAGAGTAAACATGAACAAATGCAATGGATTACGTCAGTTGAGTAGACATCATTTCATTAATGGTGAACCATGCATCTTATTCATTATTGTTAAGTCTGATCACAGAAAGATTCAAAAATTTTACCCTGGGGTATTTCCAGCATAGATTTCTATGTATGTTAGCAAGTAAGTTGAAAGACAACAGACGCATTTTGGTGGATGCGCTTCAGAGTAGTTACTTGTCTTTTTCAAATACCATTCATTGAATATTCAGACAAAAATGCAGTTCCCCTACTACAGAAAAATACGCCAACTGCCC